CACACACACACACACACACACACACACACACACACACACACACACACGGCGCTAGAGTGAGGAGGACACTCTCTGACTCCTCTGCAGTCTTAGAGAGTTGCCATGAGTGCCGAGAATCAGAATTAGGGTGCGCTCACGGGACACCCACATGAATGAGGCTTCCTGGTCTACACTTAAAACATCTGATGAACTGAATTTAGCACCTCTATTTACAAACAGACTCTCGTATGGATCACAGAAATTCAAAACAATGATGAACCAGATAACTAGACAACCTTCCCTACTAAAAGTCATCATCTATTTTCCCTAAGACCTGCTACAAAGCACTACAACTTGAGCTAAAAAGAGAAAAATGCAAACAAAAAGGACCCCATGAAGAGGGTTGCAAAACGTGGCCTGAACATCAGAAAGTGTCATCCACAGAATGAGACTGCTCCAAAGGCTCCTACGAGCCTGCACTGGGGGACCACAATATCTCCAGGTGTGAAGGGGCAAACCTCAGCGCTGTCATCGATTCCTCCCTCTCCCTCTCATCCAGTCGGCGCCAAGGCATGTCAAATCTACTTTCGTAACATACCTCTTGGATAAACTCCCTTCCCCCCTGACACTGGTCCCACCCCAGGGCGGGTCCTTGTTACCTGCACTACGTGGTAGCTTGCTGGTCGACCTGCCCATCTTCTACTCACACAGCTGTGACCATGTCACTCCCTATTAAGTAAATTTCAGGGACTCCCTATTACCCCTAAGATCAAATACAGGATCATAATAGCTAACATTTATGGAACACTTTAAGGTTCACAAAGTGCTCTTATTTGTCATCTTGGTCAACTGTCAATGCTATTATTTCCCCATTTTACAGGATGAGGAAACTGAAGCACAAAAATGCTAAAGTTAGCTCAAAGAAATAGGATTGGAACCCAAGCCGTCGTGACTCCAAGGCCTGCACCCCACGTACTGCTCCTACCTGGCCCCTCCCTGGCTTTCCTATTTTCTCCTTTATTCCTCTCTACATTCATACATAGATTGCCTGAGGTTCAGGGACACTGGCCTCCGAGAACACCCCCATCTCGCGACACTGAATCCCTCTGCTCACTCTGCCATCTGCCCCTGCCCAGTTCCCTCCTGAAGCTCCCCAACATCTGTTAGGGCCTCTCCCGGTTCCCTCCCCTACTCACACCCTCCTTGGAAGGCACTTCCAAGTGGCCCAAAATAGGCCTTCATGGTACTCACTGTTTTCCCACCCCTTCCCTGAAAGCAAATCCTGGTTTTGCCTCTCCTTTTTTTCTCCAAGGCTTGGCACAGCGCTTAGCACAGAGAGCATCTAATAAATGTTTGTTGAAATAACTTCACCACCATCACTAACCAATTACTACCCAATTCTCCCCCTTCTCCACATCACTATCATTCATGGACAGAAACCATGGGGAAATGTGACCAGACTATTTCTACAGGGGCCACAAACCTCCAACTCAGTAGCAGATACAGCCCATGCAGACCCAGAGAAGATGTTTCTAGACACAATCTGCTTGCTATGATTTTATTAGCAGAAAACACATTTGAGAAGATATACACATGACCAACTGCTGTTTCCGCCTGACTTATGGCTGGAATCTCCTCTGCTGGCACGTGCTCCTCCAGAGGGGGGATGTCCATTTTCCCGATTCTCTTTCCGCCCCTAGCTCTTAGCACCCAGTGCTCTACACGGTGTAATCACCTAAGACATTACTGCTTCCTCGTACACTCCCTTGGAGGAATTGGCCAAGACCAAGACTCCTCAGACTTCTCTGGTCTTTGTCCAACAGCCGCAATCCCCCCTCCTCCTGCACACAGGCTGCCTCACAGTTCCTGCATTCTCCACGTTCACCAAGGCCATCCTTCTCGCCAGGCAAAACTTGCGCTTCTGGATGCCTCATCCCTGGCCCTTTCTGCTTTCTGAGAGATTTTTAGTACCTCTAAGGCCAGAGGGAAAGAACAAAACAATGTGCCCCTGCTAGGACCCTGCAGAAGGGGTCCACTAAAGAATTAAGGGGTGAGAGCAGAAGTTCCCCTAGATAAAGACAGAGAGCTAACAAAGGGGCCTAAGAATGTTGGAACCCCCAGAACCTGCTGGAAAAGGGAGCTGGCATCCTGAGGGACTGGGATGAGTGGGGCCCAGCCCCACTTGTCCTCCACACCAAGGAGAGGGTACTAAAATCCCAACCCTTAGTCTAAGGAGGACACAGACTCGTGGGATCTCTCCAGGTCCCTCCTGGTCTTGTAGTCTAGGCACTAGTAATTCATTCGAACCAGGTAGGGCTGGTCACCAAAGCCTCTGCCAGGGCCAACATTTCTAGACAAGGTCAGCTGAGCGGGCTTACCTCCAGTTCTTCACTGTCTTTGGGTTTCTCGTCGGAGGTCTGCTTAACAAAGTCAGGGATGAGAATTTCCAGTGTGGCTCGGGCTAAAAGAGTAATCGTTTTAGTTTGTGCTCATTCTTAATTATCATAAGAGGAAAGAGATCTCGAAATTCACTGGCTTGAAGGACTGGGGCAGCCAACGCCTCAATGCTGGGACACGTGCTCTTCTATGGCTAACCCACCAACAAGCCAACAATGAAAAACTCAAGAAAACAGGTTGTTCTTCTGTGCACATACGTCCATCGAGGGAAAAGGTCTCAATCCTTGACCTAAAATTCACTGGTCACCCATTTCCTTACGGACCCATTCCTCCACCCCTCTGCATTTCTAGTGTTCATGCATTGTGTGCTCTGGGTCTTCACCATCAGCTCAGAATTTGGGATGTGGATGGGACCTTAGAGATCATCTAGGCCACTGCTCTCCCCTTACAACGAAGAAAGCTAAAGCCTAGAGGTGGGAAGTGAGTTGCCCAAGGTCATACACGAGGCTAGGGAGTGGCAGATCACAGGTTCAAGCTAAGGTCCAATACTCCTTCCACTACACCAGGCTACTCTTACTTCAACTGGTCCAAGTTTGCTTGATGCTGAAATTTAAAAAGAACAAAAACTGCCACTTTGAGGCACTCAGATGTAAAGAAGAACCAGGCTGGCCCCACAAAACTCCTGGCCAAGAAAAACAGCTGTGACCCCGCAGAGTCACCCAATCTCTTTCCTTGCAACACTGGGGTCCCCCTCTTTGCATAACTTGAGCTCACTTCATTCCAAAGTGGGCAAACTTTTAATCTGCCAACTATTCTGGAATGACACCTTCTCAAGCAGGACCATACACTTTTCTTGCTTTGGAAGCAGACTGTAAAGTCCTTGGGATCAGGGACTGTCTTGGTTTTCATCTTCCTGCCCCCAGTGCCTACCCAGCACAGTGCATTGTACATAGTAGGCACTTAAATGTTTGGTGAATTGGTCCTGGGCCCAATTTAGCCCTTTCATGATGACGACACAGGGTCTCGTGAACTTCAAATGATCTCTGCAAAGGTGACTGAGGCACACAATGTTGTCGGGGCCTTCACGAAATGGTTTTTTTGTCTGTTGTCTTGTAAAAGCTCTCGTGCCTACTCTTCTGTTTTTCTGTCTCCACCTCCCACCAGGCTGTCACCTCGCCTTCTGTCACTGCTATCAGCACAACTGTCCTGCCCCACCTGCCCCCTCTATTAACGTGCTGCTGTTTCAGTTCTGTGGCCTGGAAATGGCTGGAATGATTCCCAAGAAAAGCCTGCAGGGCTTCCCAAAGGCTCAATCACACTTAGTTAGCACCAACGGGTGTGTATGTGTATTCAGGTGCCTTTTTCGCCCCCTCCTGAGTGGGGCCCAGTGAAGTAATGAGTTACGATGAGGTGGGCAGAGTTAAGCATTAAGAATCAGTCCTCTTCTGACTGCATTACAGGAGAACAGCCAAAAAGGGACTTACTCCAATTGCAGAGCCACAGAATTCTGCTCTAGAAATCAGACTTTGGCAACACTGTGAAAGGGAGGGGAGAGGGAGTCGATCTGTGATGTTACTGGTAAAGGAACTCCCTCTACAAATGCAGGCCGGCACTTATTTGCAATTTAAAAAGGCTTAACAGCACTGAGGAGGAAAGTGACTTTGGCCAGGGGTTACACAGCCAACATGTTTCAAGAGGGGCTGGCAACTTGGGTCTTCAGGGGTTCAAGATCAGCTCTTTTATCCACCAGGCTGTGGCTGCCTCCATCATCAGGGCAAAAGCTCAACAATGCAAAGCAAATTTCAAAGCACAATAAAAACCACCGTGAAATGTGGAAATACAGCTTGGTGACTGATTCTAATGCTTAAACAAAGTGTACTGGAATTTTACCACTTTTAAGCTATCCAATGGCGTCAGCATTCTCTCTCCATACCCAAGACTGCTGCCTTCCTCAACCCCAGACAGAGAGAGGCGGGGACAGTAAAACAGACGGGCAGTGGGGCAGTGGGAGTTACAAACGCGCACGTTACCAGCTTTGTTCTTTGCAAGCTTTTTGCTGCTTGCAGTTCCAGCCCCATAGGTCACTCCATCAATAGTCACTGAGGCTCCAAAAGGCTCACTTGGGTTCTCTAAAAAATGGAAAACATTCTCTTTAAAATATTTAGCCTGAATGAAACACCATTCAAAAAATCCCCTAACACAATGCAGGGTTTAAATTCACTAAATTATAAGTCAAACATTTATGAGTGCCTACTATGTATAGCATTTTATAAGGTACTTTTAGAAAAAAAGGCAAAAAAGCACTGGGGAAAAAAAAGCATTCTTCTTCCCGAAGGAATTTAGAATCCAGCAAAGGAGGACAGACACAAGGAGAAAATTTTTACAAAACCCACCAAGTGTAAATCAATACAAACTGGGTTTGTACTGATAACAGGCTGACCGGAGATCACTGAGGAGGTAGCACGGCCCAGTGGAAAGAAAACCAGATTTGGAATCAGAGGATCTAGGGTTCAAATATCACCTCTACTACCGACCCTACATGTGTATGTGTTTGTGTGTGGGGGTGTGGGTGTGACCTTGGGCATGTCACTCCCCACCCCGCCCCCACCTTGACGATGTCTCAGGTGTTTGGAGGAGACATCTCTAAGGTCCAGTCCAGCTTTACAGGATCTCTAACTCCTAGGATCCTACCTAGGGGCAGTGGGTACAGGACAGGTTAGAGCAGAGTCAGCACTAAGGTCAGCTCCCTTAGATCCCGTATTATATGCAAACTCTGTCTACCAAGTTAACAAAGAACAGCTGTAGATACAGCCCCTAAATGAGGGAACAAAACTTACCACATTCAAAGAAAGTGTAAACAGGGCGAACCTTGAGGACTCGCTGCATGTATTCGTGCAGTATGCAGACTTCTGACTTCCCATTGGGATTAATAACAAACTCTGTGACAAAGAAGAAATATGTGACAACACGGGACATTTAACCCCCCTCATCCCCACAAATGGACATGTGGCCAACATTTAAGAGAAATCAGCATTTAGGAAGCCAGAGGCAGAGGACAATGGGAAAGAGCCCTTGCATCTCAGGAGACCCAGGTTTCAAACCCAGCTCTTCCACTCCTTAGCCAGATGACCATTATGAGACATGACTAGAAATCCCCAGGGCTTCATTTTACTAGCTGTCAAACAAGAATTACAGTATTTGAACTTTATAAGCCTCAAATGAAAATGTGTATAAAACCATCTTTAAACCTTAAAATGCTATGTAAATGTCAGCTAGTAGTCTTACAGAAACAAATTAGCATATGAATGTAAAGCTTTAGTGACCCAAGTATTATGTTACTTAGACTGGAAATGTTTCATGCACAAATTGTTTATTTCACACGTGGACCATTAAGAAAGGCCTCAGAGCTACATTTTAAGACACAAAATTGACCAATCCCAGTCAGCCTGGTTAGATTCCGCTAATTTTAAAATTCAAAAACATAAGACTAACCTTTCTTTGTAGGTGCATCATGCACAGACAAAGTAATGAGTTTCTGGTTGGCTGGCAAGATGGGCCTCTCGGATTCTGCCTGCTTACGCTTCATTTCACGGTTGAACTGGCGTCTTTCTGCCCAAGTCCTGAACTTTTTCACAGTCACTTGCTCAAAATCAAAACGCTTTTCCAGATAGTTTCGAAAGTCCTCAAGATCTGTACAGAAATTGCCAAAGAAACACTGTTATTTCTAGTTATCAAATTATGAATGACTATTTGGTGAAGGCAAAAACAATGAAAAGCACAAACACGTGGCAAAGGGGAGAAAAAAATACACCCATTTGCTGATAATATGACAATTGCTTAGAAACCCCAGAGAAACAATAAAGGGATTAGTACAGACAATTAAGAGTTTCAGTAAAGGAGCAGGATACAAAACAAATCCACAAAACTCAATAGCATGTCTATACAGAGGTAACAAAATCTAAGAGGAAATAAAAGGGAAGGAAGTCCTATTGAAAACAACTACCAAATGCATAAAATAACTGAGTCGACCTACTAAGGTACATTGGAGAAACAGCATTTCTAAGGCATAAAAAGAAAAAATTCAGTAATGGAGGGATCTTCAATTGCTGACTGGTCATACCAACACAATAAAAATGAAAATATTACCTAAACTGATTTACAGACTTAGTGCTATATTAAACTACTAAAAGGAAACTTGAAGGAGCTACATAACAAAATTAATTCAGAAGAACAAAAGGTTTACAGTCCCAAGGGGCCAAAAGGCAGAAGAAAGAATAAGGGATAACTAGTTCTTCCAGATAACAAGTTACAACAAAACAGTTAAAATAAAAAACTATTCGATACTGATTAAAAAATAGAAAAGTAGATCAGTAGAAGAGACTAGAAGGGCAGCTAGGTGATGAAATAGAGAGAGTGTCAAGCCTGAAATCAGGAAGACTCATCTTCCTGAGTTCAAATCTGGCCTCAGACACTTACAAGCTGTGTGACCCTGGGCAAGTTACTTAACCCTGTTTGCCTCAGTTTCCTCATCTATAAAATGAGTTGGAGAAGGAAATGGCAAGCCACTCTAGTATCTTTGCCAAGAAAACCCCAAATGGGGTCATGAAGAGTTAGACATGACTGAAACAACTGAGTAACAAGAACAGATTAAATGAGAAAGAATCAGAAGCAAGCCCAGACTTAATAACCCAAATATTCAAGAAATCCAAGAACATAAGTATCTGAAGAAAAACTACCTATTTGACAAAAACTCCTGGAAAAATCAGAAATCAGTTTGGTAGAAATTAGGGTTAAATCAACATCTTAAGTCAAGTTCAAAATAGAGATACAAGTTGAATATTAAAGATCACACCACAAAAAAAACTAGAAAAGAACCAGATGAGGTATTTCTCAAAGCCACGGCTAGAGTTCTTAACTATACAAGGGACGGAGGAGAGAGATAGCTGTAGTTATATTAAATGGAAAAGCTTTATACAAACAAAACGAGTGCCAGTAGGTTAAGAAGGAAAGCTACATGTTGAGAAAAAATCTTGGCTTAACTCTGATGCACAAGACTTATGAGGACTAATACATATCTTTAAGTCCAAAAGCTATAAACAAAAATAGGTCTTAACAAGAACTACAAACTATTCACTAGATTAAAGACTGCTCTAAATCACAAATAATTATAAAAATGCGAATCAAAAAACAATTCAGAAAACTGATGATAACAAAAAATGGAAACAGTAAATGTCAGCTATGGAAAGACAGGTACACTCACACGTATTATCGGAGAAGCAAGTAACTTTCCATTCTAGAAAGCAATTTGGAATTATGCTAGGAAAGTAACTAAAACATCTTTCACCTCTGAGCCTGTGTTTTGTGACAGACCTCTGGCATAATTAAGGGAGTCTCCCCTGGGAGCACACAGGGATCCCCTACTGACCCTTGTTTTCTAGGACTGGGCTCACAGAGCCCAATTTCCACACCAAAGGTACAAATGTCATTAGGCAAAGTCCTTGTCCAGAGACCCCAGTTCAAGTCTGAAGAAAGGTCCATGGGCCAGCCAGACACAATAGGCAACACAAACCCCCTAATGAGTTCAGATGCCAAGAATAATATGTAACAACAAGAAATCAATTCAA